ACAACGTCGTGTAGGCGTTGTATTATTGATGTCCTAGAGGAGGTAGACGCTGCTGCTGAGCATGCGCACCGCTAGCTTTGTCTGCAGCATTCCGGAGGTCATTTCCGGAGACCATAAGCTAGCGGGATGGCGGGTGGGGTTGCAGTTTTCGCTGCCTTGCCAGCTTACAGGTGAACGTAGTGCACTTATAGTCCGTTGCAACCTAAGAACGAAGGGCGAGGGTAAGACGGGCCGGGGAGGAGGAAGCAGACGGAACGCTAAAGAGGGAAGGAAGTTTCCCCCCTCTCTTCTCCAGCGCTCCGTCTGCTTCCTCCTCCACGGCCCGTCTTACCCTCGCCCTTCGTTCTTAAAGGACACATGCAAAGGAAAAAAACATTTTTTTTTAACGGCTTAGATGGAAAAAGGAAGTCATAAAACGATTTTACAACGAAGAAAAAAATTTTTTAGAGCTATATTTACGGCGCGAGATGATTTTTTGTCAAGCGCGGTGTAACGCTCCTCCTTTCCACTTTTCTCTCTCGCCCCTGTGCGCTCTGCGGAGAGGAGAGGTAAGCCGCTTGGATTGACTTGGCTGCTCGGCTAATAAATAAGCCACTTCCGCTCAACTTCGGCGCGCGTTTTGTTGTTGAATTTGTGTGCTGGTGGTGGAAGCGGTGGTAGTCTGCTCCGCGTCTTTTACAATGGATCGCGAGTTGAAGCGCAGACTCCTCGACCGGATCAGGCAGCTAGGGCTTCGCCCCTACGAGGACACGCCTCGCAGACCAGCGAACCACCCCGCGGAAAGCTCCGAGGCCAGCGATACGCCTGCGGACAGCGTTGCCGGCGGGTCGCAGCTCCCGCCCGAGTCTTCGAGTAGACTCAAAGACACGCAATGGTAATTATTTATCGATTAAACATTACGATTCTGTGTTAAACTGTAGGGGATTTGGCTTGCTACTTTTAGTTGCTGAATTATGGCACCGTAGTAGTGTTGGACAGCTAAAAAAAAAAGGTTATAATGAAAGGTTCAAGTTGCTCAAGATGAGCGCACTGGCCTGGCGCGGGTGGAGGCGGTCCGCAGCCAGCAGACACGCTGACGAAGAATGAGACATCTGATTCTGTCGGGGTTACCCCCTTGATGCCCAGTATTAGCCAGGAGCGACAACTCAAGAAATATTTCATTTGTCCCCCGACGCGTGCGCCTCAATAATTTAGCGCCCCGTGTTCCAAGCCGAGGATGCCTGCTTAGCAGTGAAGAATCGAATTGCACCTTCAAAAAAAAATAACTTGTCCTATAAAACCAAAGCTGACAGTAGATGTGAAAAGACGGTGAGAGTGCAGGCGAGCTTGTGGTAGCTAATCATGTCGTATTACACCTGAGACTGAAATCGGAAGAACTTTCAGTAGAAGGAACAGACACAGAGAATGTCTCATTGAGACGTTCTCTGTGTCTGTTCCTTCTACTGAAAGTTCTTCCGATTTCTTCCACCGCAGTCTCAGAGACGTTCTCCGTGTCTGTTCCTTCTACTGAAAGTTCTTCCGATTTCTTCCACCGCAGTCTCAGGTGTAATACGACATGATTAGCTACCACCAGCTCGCCTGCACTCTCACCGTCTTTTCAAAGAACTTTCAGTAGAAGGAACAGACACAGAGAACGTCTCATTGAGACGTTCTCTGTGTCTGTTCCTTCTACTGAAAGTTCTTCCGATTTCTTCCACCGCAGTCTCAGGTGTAATACGACATGAGTAGATGTGAGGTGTGATGGCGTGCACCTCTGAATTTGAAACTCCGAGGAGAAAAAACTGGTCCAAATATTGCAAATCCATTTACAAATGTCTCAATTGGCGTAATTCAAAGTGCACCTGTGCCTTCTCCGAGGTCGTAACTGCTTTCAGTCACTGGACATAAAATAATGCCGCATATGCACAATGTTGCTCACGAGCGACATTAAAAAAAAAGGTTACGAAAATGGGTTTTTAAGACAAGATTTCTGTAATTTTGTGTGTTCTAAACTCATGTCAGGGCTTCTAGATCTCCAGTATTTCATGTAAAATTTCGGGCACTCACTTGGTGTAAACTTTCTGTACCAGCTACAAAGAGAGGACAGGAATTGGCGTTTGGTCTGGCCTTTGAGCCACCGCAATAGACCTTTACGGAACATCCCAGACCTTGCAACGAGGGGAATTGAGGGGCTGTTCGGATGCACGTTAGTGCCGGCTCAGACGATTTGTATATCGTGGTAGCGGTAGATTCATTAGACCTTTCATAGGCCGCGTTTCTCTTTCTGTCAAGCTCCCCGCAACAAAGAAGCCGCTACTGCGCCTGCGCATCGATGGCGTTGTGTGTACAGTTCCGGCTATCGTAGCGGTTTGTGGAGAGCGTTGCGGGACGGCAAAAACCATTACGAAAACTCCCATTTTTTTATCGTCAGGAGCTCGGAACGTAATAATAAAAATAAAAATAAAGCGAATGCAAAAGAAGGTAAGCACATAGTCTGTTTTGCTTTACTTCTACGTTCTGAAATCACAAACTGTTAAACAAACGTCAACTTCGTCTTCGCTTCTTGGATAATTTCACGCGCCGTACATCTGAACGTCACAACGCGTAAAGCAGACGCTGGGGGTACCCCATATTTCTGGAAAGGTCTATTCGCAAAGTTTGAAAGCAAGTCAATCTGTATCGTGTTGATCACTGTGGTGCTGGTATTGACTCATGCAATATCTCACTGCAGGTGCAGTTGTGGCCAGTGTCAGGTAATGGCCAGTTCTCGGGAATGCCTCTGCTGCATTGAGGTGGAGGAGATCGCCGCCAAGGCAGGTGCCAGGTGCATCACCAGGCACAAGGACTTTTTTGGTGCCATCTTAAATCCCGTCGTCCTCCAGATCGCCTACAGCATGAGGGCGATGGAACTAAACGATAGGGAACTCACAGGACAAAGAAGCACCCACAAGTATGACTTTCTTAGACTAGATCATATCGCACAATATCAGCAAAAAAGAAAGTTTCCATCGATAAGTATACGATACTCAATTTTCTTTTTTCTCAGATCTTAGAACTCTCCTATGTTCAGCCAGCTTTAGCTGGCGTGCAGCTATCATAGAAAACTTCGCTGAATAGTCGTATGGTGCCTATATAATCGCAGAAACAATTTCAGTGGGTAAAAGTGCATCACTCTTGTGTTCGAGAGATATGCTTATTCTGCCGTCGGTATATCATGTTGCATGAGTGAGACTCAAGGAGTCCAAATAAAGATTATTATTATGAATTAACTTCCGCACTCCAAATAACGAGTAGAGTTTTAACGAACATGAACTTTGTTGGTGGATATGCGACATTGACCGCCGACAGGCTTACTCGATTCAGTGTATTAAGGGGAACCCAATTCTAGCAAATGCTTATCAAATTTGACCCCATTGTACTGCATAACCTGAGTGAAATTGATATTGCCATAATCTATAACCTATGTCATCCTTCTATTGATTCAACAGAAAATTCAGGTATGTGGCATACCGCCAGTTTGCCTGGTGGATCTGGAAGAAGCTGGGAAAGGGAAAACCGGAAGGTCTTGCCCTCCTGCGTCGTCCGAGCTATCCGGGAGGCATTTCCATCCAAGGAGTACCGGGGTTTCGACTACCCATCCCTCTAAGGCCTGTGCTTCATGTTCACCTTGTGGGTCTTTCTTTGTCTCGGTTCCATATTTTTTAGCTCGGTCACCCTCATGCCGTAGGCAATATAGAGAACGGCGCTGAATTCTTAAATACCGTTCACATACTTGCAACCGAGTAGGATGGAGAGAGACAAGACCGGTTTTTAAGCCTCCTGCGGCATCTTAGGACCGGATACGCTGCTGCGGAACTGGTTCTAAGACGTCGCAAGAGGCTTAAAAACCGGTCTTCTCTCTCTTGGTCTTACTGAGTTGCAAGTGTGTGAACGGCACTTTAGTACTGTGTCCTCTCTGCTGTACACCACAGCAGGTGCGCGAGAAGCGCACACAACGAGACTAACTAATACTCTAGCAGAACAGGCGACGAACATGAGAATTATTTCGAAACTTCCAAGTACTGTTAGTCTTTCATATGAAATGCGATCGAATAGTGTGTTGTTAGAAACAATAGTCAAAAGTTCGGAGAGCTCGCATAAGCACATTCTAACAGCGAGGCCCGAGCTATTATATTTCCAGTATTATTACAGCAAAATTAAGTTTTGGTGCAACGTTGGCACAAATGGTGCAGCAATCACAAAACTGAATACAACAGATGTTGCTGTGTTGAGTTCCAAAGAAATAAAGGAGTCACAAGCTGAAATTTTTGTGGTGTAGTTTTTATTCCCCAAGGCAAGATATTTTACATACACACGATGGAAGGGATAATTAGTATGTCAAAGGTTATGGGAAAGCCTCAGAATGATGGCCTGTGCAGAGCAAAGCTTCATGTTGCCATGGTCTTTGTTTTCCTCACTGGCACCGGGGGGGGGGGGGGGGGGGGGGAGGGGGGGGGGGGAGGGGAGGGGGGGGGGGAAGGGAAGGGAAGGAATGGGCACAGGAGGTGGGTGGCAGGGAGCACAAAGTAAGCACTCAATTTCTGTTGCTACAACAATGCGCACAAATGTACTTACCGATGCAACAAGATTGCAGCACCGAGAAACAAGGCACAGTACAAACCTTTCCTTGCAAAGACTGCTGCTTACCTTCGGACTTCGAAGAAAATTCCCACCTTGGACACACCATACATTTCCGCGTCTAGCGGACGCACAAAAAAAATCTTATTGCGTGTTACTTACCTTTTATGAACAAGCCACTGGCAGGGGGACATAGGAGCTTTATGTCTGTTCCTGAGCAAAGAAAGAACAAGGGCACAAGAGCAACACGCAAGGGCACTTGCCCGTGCAACAAAAAATTGCAGCACCAAGAAACAAGGCACAGTACAAACCTTTCCTTGCAAAGACTGGTGCTTACCCTCCGATTATGAAGGAAATGGTCGATGTGGACACATCCTTGCATCCTGCAGAAGCTAAAAAATAATCTTATTTCGTGTTACCTACCTTTTAGTTATGAACAAGGCAATGGCAGAGGGACGCAGGTGCTTCATGTCTCTTCGTGAGAAGATCTGTAGGGTAAGTTTCAGGTATAAGTCACAAAATTGTTTGTAATGGCAATTATCTCCTACAAGAGTTCAACAGGCAGCCATACAAAAGTGAGAAATCTGACTACACAAAAAACATTATTAGTGTTATTATAACCAAGAGGCGGTTGGGCCATTGACATTTCTTTTAACAAGCTTCGTCATTATCAGGAAATTTGCAGAACTTGCGGAAACATACCGAGCACGAGAGGCGAAGCGTGACTGTCTGGCCGCAATCAGGTCACTCTTTGGTGGCCTTGGATGCTTGGCACACATCGGTGGAGGACGATGCGACACATTCGCCTTGCGGGACTCCTCGAAGGTCGGCCATTTGTCCAAGCAGGTCACGAACTCGTCCAGGAGGTCATCGCGGTACCCTAGAAGTCAATACTTCAAGTTAAGAATTTTCAAAAAAAGCGTTTGAGCAATGACGTACGGAAAGTTGCGTTGCTTTTATTTTCTGTCACTGTGTGTCTGCCCTTGTGCGCTTTGGATGACACCAGCCTGAAGCATGGTTCCCCTTCCTTGGTTACAGCTTGCTCGCGCCCAACATTTTCATTAAAGTGGAGCACTGCCACCAGGGTCCTGGATTGAAAACAGACAATATAGTTATCGTGTTCAAAAGAAGGCTGCAAAACGAATCCCTGCATTTAGAGCCTTTGAATGATGCTTTCAAGACCTCTGCCGAGTGGCTGGGACTATTTGAGAGAAGATCGAGGAGTGGCGCTCCCTAGCGGCCACCAAACCTGTGTGGCAAACAAACCCTTTGACAGCGGTCATTAATGCATTCGCTGCCATGGAAGACAACCGACACAAGGCTAGTGCAAGATAAATAACAGTAATACTTTCTCCCTAACGCATTCAGATAGGTAATATAGTCTCCTCTTGCATCTTGAAAGGCAAAACAAGTGCATGTGTTGCAGCGGCGTAGCCAGGGGAGAGGCTTATGGGGCTTCAGCCCTACGAGCCTCCCTCCACGCTGGATTGTGCGTGGTCGCCGTGGCATCTATGGTTTGCTGGATGATTCACAAAACACATACTTCTTTTCAGACATGCAAGCAGTGTCTCGTTGAAGGAGAGGACATGCTCAACTGTAATCATGTCATGAGTGCAGCATTGCACTAGAGTCAACGGTGGACAGTGTACTCTGCATCGTCGTGTACGTGCTACAGTCCTCTGCACTGCATATATCCAGTTCAAAAGCATGCTTCAAGCACTGTGGTATTCAGCAAGTGTGCACCATATCGTTGCAAACAATTATGCAGCAAGCTCAGAAATGATGCGGTGTACGCTAGGCGAGTGCTAGCACCGGACTTGTTTATCACACAGAGATTGTTTGTGGAGATGATGATGATAATGAAACTGCACCCCTATTGTTCAATCTCCTCACCAATATAGAGAATGTAAGGTCGAGGCAACACGGATAGATAAGCAACAAACTAGATGCAAGATGACCTCGCTTGAGGAAGTTTTGGTGCTCCAAGAACCCATGTGCTACTGGGAAGTGTGGCAGAAAAGGGTCGATCATAAAGGCGCAGATAAAGTTCCGGTAAACGTTGATTCACCTTGCCATCATTCCTTCTGGACTGAATGCCCGAGACTTGGAGGCAAATTTGATGAGCACGCTGTTGAAGGATTCCACGGAGTACGTTTGGGACCCAGACGACAGGTGCTGGATGTCCTTGATGAGCCGGGGGTTAGAAATGATGCTCCGGAGCTTGTTGTAAGCTGGTGAGCCTGGAATCAGTACACAGCTTTGGCAAATATTGTTGACAAATACTGTATGTATTTTTGTCCCCATCAGAATCACAAAAGGGTTATATGAAAAAATGATTGAATACTGAACTTACCCACAACTAGCCAAGAGCGATCAGTGAGTGGCTGGTGCAGGCACTCGTCGTAAGGTCCACCATGGCCGCTGTGCTTGTTCACCACATGATTAAGAAGGCTCAGCCACATACTCACCAGAAGTGGGCCGTTGCAGTCCCCCATCATGGCACAGAAATAAAGGTGATTGGTGACAGGCTGGACCCACACCTCCAATTCCTTGCAGAGGCCACTCCGACTGGCTGCCTGGAGCTTCTTCTTGACACCTTGAAAAGTGTTTGTTTTTTAGCTATGCCTCAAACTGGCCATTCCCATATAGGAAATCACTAATAACAACTCGCTCAACAAACTTTTTGAAAGGTGCCACGTGTCAAAGTAGTGTGCTGTGCCACTCTCCAGGGTCCTCATGTGGTGCTGCACACCCGGGTGACGGTCTGCATAAGGGTTTGTTTGGTACAGAGCCTGAAAAGAACAAATGAACTGGCAATCTATCTGGCAATTTTTACATACCTGACGTGAAAGAGCTAATCGTAAAGCCTTGATCTTTGAGCTTGTTGAAACCACGGACGAAGGCCACCTTCTCCATGGCGTTGCTTGAGGCCACTTCATCAGACTAATACCAATATGTATACATTTAATGGCTCAGCAGTCACTGTACTCCGACATAAAAGGATTATCAAAGGCAAGTGATTGTAAATAAGGGGCATATCAGTATATAGTAACCTCCTTTGCCTTCATTAGTAAATCTTACCTCACCAACCTGTACCTGCTCCATGTGGATGATTTTTTTGGTGGTCGCCTCGTGGAAGGTGTAAGTACAGTACTTCGCTGAGAACCCTGGCGAGTCACAGCGCCCGTCACCAGCCAGGTCGATGGCCTTGCCTTGTAGTCCTTCCAGGAGCTCGGTGTTGCGTCGCTGGTACACCTGGCAAGCAAATATCCTTTTTAAATGCCACTCTTAATTTATGAAGCCACTTCCTAACTGACCTGTTTCACGGCAGACAGCAGGTAACCCTCCTGGTAGTAGTAGTAGAGGCGGTCCGAGATGGTTGAGATGTTGATGGACCTCAGCAACCTCAAGGTAGTGGCAACGTCGGCGCCTGAAAAGAGAATGGCCGCACAAATCAATGGATTGCCTGCTGCTTTGTTACCCACCTTTGGCTGGCTCCTCCATGTTTCTTTGTGCTCGTTGGTACAGATGCTTGTTATCGTTAGTAGAGTGCCGCTGACCGCAGTGGTGTTGCGGCAAGGGGCAAAGCACTTGCGGCACACCCGGAAGCGCTCCAAGAGGCAGCCCTCAAAGACAATGAACTTGCGCTCCTTATGTGGTGGCACCTTCTCAGGGTCCTGTTGGTCACTAAAAATGTAAACACGACTGTAACACACACTGGAGATTCCTCTGAAGTATTACCTCAGGAAGCTTTCGTCTACAGAGAGCACATAGCTGCTGTCGGGCTCACCACGAGCATCAGACTCCTCTGTATCAGCACCTGCAATGTAAACATGTTTAATATCGTCAAGAGTTTGCCCAGGATCATAATGAGAAAGGTGATCCAGGGCAAAATTTAGCGTTTTTAAACGGTAAATTTGTGACCAGCTTTTGCCTCTAATCATAAGAACCCGTCCGAGCTTGTTTGCTTGAAGCTCGGTTAACTTTAATTGCGGTTGAAAGTTAACTGTACTCAGTTGCTGCCATTTATTCCCGACGTCTCATCTCTGTCAGTGATGTTACCCAAAAATATCTATCCCAAGTACCCAAGTAGGGTTTTAATTGTGGTCATCCTTAAAGCAAACCCGCCGTAGTGTGGCATTTATCTCTTTGTCTATGAGGCTTGTGCACCTCCTCACCCAAGTCAATGTCGCTCCAAGGTTCAGAAGTTACGTTTGACTCTTCCTCCAGGTCGATGCTCATGTCACTGTCGATGCTCATGTCACTGTCGATGCTCACGTCAATGTCGGTGTCACTGGATTCATCTGACGAGTCCTCCTGCTCACGATCGCTGCATGCATACCAAGGCCTATCCAGTACATCACTGGAACTTACCTGACCTTCACTGTTGTTGCCCTCAGCTGGTATAGGTGTTGACCTGCGACGGCTGTTGTCAGTTTGATTGCTCAGTTGGTCCGGAACTTGCAAGCTGGAGGCCGTCCTAGGGATGGGTGATGGCAGCCTTGCTTGCAGAGCGCGGCCAGACTGAAGCTCCGTGGTAGGCTCTGCTGGGCCAGGCGATGCTCCTGGGGACTCTGCACCTTGCTGCGATGAGAGTGCTCCAGCACTGCACTCTTGGTCAACCTGCGTACCTGGAGATATTGCCACGGATGAAAGCGACGAGATAATAAACTAAAAATGAAGGTTTAATCAGCGCCATTGTGCCAAAAACAAAAGGAAGAACAAAGGCCGGCTAGCGCGTGAGTGAATGTGCCTCGTTGAAGGGAAAATTTGCTGGTATATTCAGCTGATGAATTTTCAGCCCCTTGGGGCACTCTGAAAAGCCGGTGCCCATTCGACTGGCCGAAGTCAGTCGCTCTAAGTATGTTGCCTGGTTCTTTCAGAGTGCTCTTAGATATTCAAATCGCACCATCCTCTGACTCGTAGCGCTGTCAGGTGCTACGAGTCGCTGCATGTATAAATCGTATTGGCTAAACCCTTTGTATGAAACGGTAGCTTGCACCATGACAGTGCAGTGGTGGTAGAAGTTGCCCTCGGTATCCTATTCTGTATCGGCGCTCCGGCCGCTCAGAAAAGTTGCCGTGCATTCAGCTGGAAAGCCGTTCCTCTAGCTTGGATTCGTAGGCGCTCTCGGATTTGGCAGATCCGACACAGAGAATTGGCGCGCTTGAAAATGACCAACCGAATATACCACCAGTGAATCGGCATAGCCGTGTCCGGCTCCTTGTATCCTACACTCAGGGCAAGAATAAACATGAATCTTCTAGATTTACGGAGAAGCGTTCCTTCTCGGTCATGCATGCGGCAATATGATACACATCTCAAGCTCAATGTGAAATATACACCGAGTACTGCCTAGGTTGATAAACTACCGTTCATCAAATATTCGGTCACACTCACAGATGGGTGCTAAAGGCTCGGCAGCTTCCTTTTGTTCGCTGTCTGTCTGGGTGCCAACGGTTGTACGAGGCACAGAACACCTGCAGCAGGAAGACTACAACACAAATTGCAAGAGACTGAGTTTTCCTTACTGGCAACTGCACTCATTGTCAGCTGCAGAGGTCAGCAGCGTACAGAAAAGAAAAATGCCTGTAGCTTACAGGAGTGAAGCCTCCAAGAGGACTGGTGCAGCTAGGTGCAGCTGCTGGGCTTTTTGAGCAGCTTGATCCCGTTGGCAGCTGGTGGGACGTGTAAGAGAGGGCAGTGGTGGGTTACTTCTGTGACCTGTGTCTGATGTAAATGTGAAGCTATTAACTAGAACGAGTTTATTGGCGTTACAACAATATAAGGTCGTCATCAGGAGTTTTTAATAAAAACGACACTGTAAAATCGCTTTTTTTTATGGTAGTGGCTATTTTTTTTGGCAGAGGGAAAACTAATATCCCCGAAACTCTACTGGCAATCGCCAGTGGTACAAGCACGACGAAATGTCCCTACAGCGTGCAATTCGCGTAACGAGTGTCGAGAGAGAGAAATGTTGAAAAGAAAGGAAGCCTGCAACTTATAGCGAGTATTGATGAACCATTTATGTTGCCGAAACACACGTGTCGTTTCGAACTGAACCGAATGGAAGGGATTTAGCGAGCGACGACGACACGCGACAGGTTAGCAACGAGCGACGGACATTTTTGAGTGTCGCTTGTCGCGCCGCCCGGTTTCCAGATTTGTAAAAAAAACATGGTTCATGTCCCATGGTCGCTTGCTCCACCGCTTGTCGTGCGGTTTGCCTCGACGCACGACAGCGGATTCTCGTCGCTGTCGCTGGTCTCGTCACTCGACAAATCGACGAGATGCGATTTTTCGAGATGCGAATATTCTCCCGGCAGTTGCCACATGCTTTCAGAAAGCCAGTGGAAGGTAACTGCCGGCAGAATTTCAGGGGAATTGTTTTGCCGGCTGCCGACAGAATAGACACTGCCTTTTAGCGAAGCGTTACAAGCATTGGAAGTTTGGCTGTGCCTCACTTACCGGTGACGGAGCCGTTGCTGCTGTTGGCGTCGGCAAGAAAAGCGTTGGGACCGTCCCTGGCTTTAAAGTCGCGCGTTGGGTTTGCTCGCAGCGTGGCTCGAAGGCCTCCGGGGCGAAGTGACGAGAACACACCCTGATATTCTTCTCGCCAGGCGTGCCAGGCGTACGCCCGATCGCCTCTAGCCAGATCGCTCTCAAATGCTCGTCCGCCGGTACCCCATGTTGACTGAAATCCTCCTGTTGGTCTCGATCACGAGAACTGCAGCCTATCATCGAGCAGCGGCGTCGCTTTCGTTGAACCGGCATGTCACAAACAACACCGCGCCGACCACGCTCGGCGCCCCTTCGCAAAAAAAATGGCGGTCTTTGTTTGGTTTCGTAAGCGTCAAAACGGAAGTGAAGATTTTCTTATACTTGAAGTTTCCCAGAAGTCAAAATATTTTGTTACAAAATTAGCGCAACAAAAAAATGAAGAAAATAAATAACTTTCAAAGACCACAGAAAGCTTTCGAAAGAGCGCAAGCACCACGTGATAAATAAAGACCAGTCACGTGATAAATACAGACCACTTTTCCGCGGTGCCCGCGGGCGCCAACTACAAATTCGTTTTGCGCCGTAAATATAGCTCTAAAAATTTTTTTTCTTCGTTGTAAAATCGTTTTATGACTTCCTTTTCCCATCTAAGTCGTTTAAAAAAAATGTTTTTTTCCTTTGCATGTGTCCTTTAAGTTGCAACGGACTATAGACTCCGTGCGACGCGACTGGCCCGCCGCCGCGCGGCCGGTACGGAAGGTAGGCATTGAGAGCCCCAGAGAAAACGAAACCGAAACCACGCCCCGTACGTTGGTACGCATTGAAGTCGGAGTGGTGCGGTTGCGCTGGGTTCACAGCATGAAGTGCTGCCTGTGCTGCGTCGTTAAGTACTTCAATAGTTATGCGTCGTATCTCGTGGAGACAAAGTTTCACAGTTTTTCACCTCGCCGATGTTTTGTGGGTCAGCGACAACGATGGAGCCGTGCCATACGACGCGAGAAATTTGTTCTCCCGATCATGTCTGCCACTGCGTCGGCACGGCTGACATATTCTACACTGCCGCTTTGCGCTCTGCGTTTGTTTTCGTACCAGTAACGCCTACATGTGTCAGCGCCGATGGGACGAACTGAAATGCCATCCCACACTCGCGGGTATGCAGTGCCAATTTCGTTGGAGGAATGCCCTCCAAAGAAGTTTCGTCCCCATCGTACGTGTCGATGATATTTCCGGACAAGTATGGCACGCAATCTGTACTTCATGAAGAAAAATTCGAACGGTAAAAAAGTGACAAATATAAATCTAAAGAGAACAACAATGAAACTCGGAATCACTGTAGAATCGACGTTCGAGTATGGAAGTTTATGTGGTGTGCTTTCTTCCTTGATCAGCCTCCTTTTGGATGAGCAAACGCTGACACCCCGAGTTCTGTAGACAGCAATTTTTCTTTCTCGGCTTTAGAGCCACCTATAGCACAGTGGTTCGAACTAGAAGTACCGTCCAGTGGTCCCTTCCTACCTGTGAAGTGTGCACCTCCCACGATGAGTGGTATTATCTGAAATCCTTTGACGGTCAAAGCCAGTTCCCATTTAGTTACGCCGCCCAAACTAAATTTCCACCTGGTTTCGCTATGCCAACTCTTTTTGTTATAATAAGTGTTCTGCTAAGTGACGGTCATGTCAAAGTACCTGTGCGCCGAAAATCAGCACCTCGCACAACAGGTTATTACACAACAGCTGACCGAAAAAGCCCTTGGCGGCCAAACCGTGTGTTGGCCGACAACTTTGTTTTCTCGGCTTTGGAACCACCTTTCGTAAAGTTGTTTCAATTGGAAGTAGAGTCCACTAGTCCCTTCCTACCTCTAAAGTCTCCACCTCCCCCGACCAGTGGTATTCTCTTGACAGCCTTTTCATGGTCAAAACCGGTTCCCTTTGAGTTACGCCGCCCAAACCAAATTTTCACCTGGTTTTCCTTTTTCTTTTTTTGTATACTAAGTGCTGTGTCATGTTACTGTCAAGTACAAGCACCTGTGTACCCAAATCTGCACTTTGCACAGCCCGCTATAACACAACATTTTGGGTCCAATATTGGATATCCCGTACAGCTTTATTTCTTTATTCGTTAAAAACATAACTTTCACATTAAGCGCGAAACACATGTACGACGAAACCGTCCGATCCGGCGTGCGGACCGCCGGAATGACCTTGGGGGGCGAGAATTTTCGTAGCGTCGGAGAGCGTTGAAAACCCTCGCCTCCGACCGTCGTACTGCGTGGTCGGACGTCGGATAGGACGGTTTCGTCGTAAATGTGTTTCGCGCTTTAATGAAACTTGGCAC